CAATCCTTTAATCCTACACCCTAAACCCTAAAACCCTAAATTTTTAAGATCGAAGATAGAAAGATCTGGAAGAAACTCGTTTTGATTACTTAATTGTAAGGTCTTCAGCGTAAGGAAATTGTCACGCATATATTGCTTCTTCGTATTCCAGCAAACAGTCAACATGGCGACAAATCGTGCACGTGGCTCGTGTGTGATGTCACAACTCGTATCCCCTGCCTCATGTGTGATATCATAAGATGCAGAGCCCAATGCCCGTAACAAATCGTACCCCCTGCTACTTTTTCTTTTTACACGCGTTTTGCTGGTATCTGTATGAGGCATGGCGACATGTACGTATTGTTGCCTGTGATTTGTTGGCATCTGTGTGAGGCATGGCAAGATGTAAGATTTGTTGCCTGTGATTTGGTGGTATCTGTGCGAGGCAAGACAAGATGTATGATTTGTTGCCTGTGATTTGCTAGTTTCTGTGCGAGGCATGGCAAGATACACGATTTGTTGTCTGAGATTTGCTGGCAGGGTATGGAAACTATCACACACATGAAGGCCTCCGGCGAAATCATGGTGTCAAGTTGGGCCCAAGAAGACCCCTCCGGCGAAGTCATGGTGTCAAGTTGGGCCCAAGAAGGCCCCTCCGGCGAAGTCATGGTGTCAAGTTGGGCCCAAGAAGGCCCCTCCGGCGAAATCATGGTCCCTCCGGCGAAATCATGGTGTCAAGTTGAGTGTAAGAAGGCTTCTCCGGCGAAATCATGGTGTCAAGTTGGGCCCAAGAAGGCCCCTCTGGCGAAATCATAGTGTCAAGATGGGCCCACGAAGGCCCCTCCGGCGAAATCATGGTGTCAAGTTGGGCCCAAGACGGGCCCTCCGGCGAAATCATGGTGTCAAGTTGGGCCCAAGAAGGCCCCTCTGGCGAAATCATGGTGGCCCAAGAAGGCCCCTCCGGCGAAATCATGGTGTCAAGTTGGGCCCAAGAAGGCTCCTCCGGCGAAATCATGGTGTCAAGTTGGGCCCAAGAAGGCCCCTCCGGCGAAATCATGGTGTCAAGTTGGGCCCAAGAAGGCCCCTCCGGCGATATCATGGTCAAGTTGAGCCCAAGAAGGCCCCTCCGGCGAAATCATGGTGTCAAGTTGGGCCCAAAAAGGCCCTCCGTCGAAATCATGGTGTCAAGTTGGGCCCAAGAAGGCCCCTCCGGCGAAATCATGGTGTCAAGCTGGGCCCAAGAAGGCCCCTCCGGCGAAATCATGGTGTCAAGTTGGGCCCAAGAAGGCCCCTCGGCGAAAACATGGTGTCAAGTTGGGCCCAAGAAGGCCCCTCCGGCGAAATCATGGTGTCAAGTTGGGCCCAAGAAGGCCCCTCCGGCGAAATCATGGTGTGAAGTTGGGCCCAAGAAGGCGCCTCCGGAGAAATCATGGTGTCAAGTTGGGCCCAAGAAGGCCCCTCCGGCGAAATCATGGTGTCAAGTTGGGCCCAAGAATCGAAATGACGGTGTCAAGTTGGGCCCAAGAAGGCTCTCCGGCGAAAACAACGTGTCAAGTTGGGCCCAAGAAGGCCCGTCCGGCGAAATCATGGTGTCAAGTTGAAGTTGGGCGCAAGAAGGCCCTTTCGGCGGAATCATGGTGTCAAGTTGAGCCCAAGAAGGCCCCTCCGGCGAAGTCATGGTGTCAAGTTGGGCCCAAGACGGCCCCTCCGGCGAAATCATGGTGTCAAGTTGGGCCCAAGAAGGCCCGTCCGGCGAAATCATGGTGTCAAGTTGGGCCCAAGAAGGCCCCTCCGGCGAAATCATGGTGTCAAGCTTGGCCCAAGAAGGCCCCTGAGGCGAAATCATGGTGGCAAGTTGGGCCCAATCATGGTGTCAAAGGCCCGCCCCGAAGTTGGGCCCAAGGCGAAATCATGGTGTCAAGTTGGGCCCAAGAAGGCCCTTTCGGCGAAATCATGGTGTCAAGTTGAGCCCAAGAAGGCACCTCCGGCGAAATCATGGTGTCAAGTTGGGCCCAAGAAGGCCCCTCCGGCGAAATCATGGTGTCAAGTTGGGCCCAAGAAGCAAAATCATGGTTTCAAGTTGGGTGTAAGGCCCAAGAAGGCCCCTCCGGCGAAATCATGGTGTCAAGTTGAGCCCAAGTTGGGCCCAAGAAAGCCCCTCCGGCGAAATCATGGTGTCAAGTCCCAAGAAGCAAATCATGGTTTCAAGTTGGGCCCAAGGCCCAAGAAGGCCCCTCCAGCGACATCATGCTGTGAAGTTGGGCTCAAGAAGGCGTCTCCGGCGAAATCATGGTGTCAAGTTGGGCCCAAGAAGGCCCCTCCGGCGAAATCATGGTGTCAAGTTGGGCCCAAGAAGGCACCTCCGGCGAAATCATGGTGTCAAGTTGGGCCCAAGAAGGCCCCTCCGGCGAAATCACGGTGTCAAAGTTGGCCCAAGAAGGACCCTCCGGCGAATTCATGGTGTCAAGCTGGGCCCAAGAACCCCCCCAGCGAAATCATGGTGTCAAGGTGAGCCCAAACAGGCCCTTGCGGCGAAATCATGGTGTCAAGCTGAGCCCAAGAAGGCCCCTCCGGCGAAATCATGGTGTCAAGTTGAGCCCAAGAAGGCCCCTCCTGCGAAATCATGGTGTCAAGTTGGGCCCAAGAAGGCCCCTCCGGCGAGATCATGGTGTCAAGTTGAGCCCAAGAAGGCACCTCCGGCGAAATCATGGTGTCAAGTTGGGCCCAAGAAGGCACCTCCGGCGAAATCATGGTGTCAAGTTGGCCCAAGAAGGCCCCTCCGGCGAATTCATGGTGTCAAGTTGGGCCCCTCCGGCGAAATCCCTCCGGCGAAATCATGGTGTCAAGTTGGGCCCAAGAAGGCCCCTCCGGCGAAATCATGGTGTCAAGTTGAGCCCAAGAAGGCCCCTCCGGCGAAAACAACGTGTCAGTTGGGCCCAAGAAGGCCCCTCCGGCGAAATCATGGTGTCAAGTTGGGCCCAAGAAGGCCCCTCCGGCGAAATCATGGTGTCAAGTTGGGCCCAAGAAGGCATCATGGTGTCAAGTTGGGCTCAAGAAGGCACCTCCGGCGAAATCATGGTGTCAAGTTGAGCCCAAGAAGGCTCCCAAAAGGCACCTCCGGCGAAATCATGGTGTCAAGTTGGGCCCAAGAAGGCACCTCCGGCGAAATCATGGTGTCAAGTTGGCCCAAGAAGGCCCCTCCGGCGGATTCATGGTGTCAAGTTGGGCCCAAGAAGGCCGCGAAATCATGGTGTCAAGTTGAGCCCAAGAAGGCCCCTCCGGCGAAATCATGGCGTCAAGTTGAGCCCGAGAAGGCCCCTCCGGCGAAATCATGGTGTCAAGTTGAGCCCAAGAAGGCCCCTCCGGCGAAATCATGGTGTCAAGTTGGGCCCAAGAAGGCCCCTCCGGCGAAATCATGGTGTCAAGTTGAGCCCAAGAAGGCCCCTCGCGAAATCATGGTGTCAAGTTGGGCGCAAGAAGGCCCCTCCGGCGAAATCATGGTGTCAAGTTGAGCCCAAGAAGGCGCCTCCGGCGAAATCATGGTGTCAAGTTGGGCCCAAGACGGCCCCTCCGGCGAAATCATGGTGTCAAGTTGGGCCCAAGAAGGCCCCTCCGGCGAAATCATGGTGTCAAGTTGGGCCCACGAAGGCCCCTCCGGCGAAATCATGGTGTCAAGTTGGGCCCAAGAAGGCCCCTCCGGCGAAATCATGGTGTCAAGTTGGGCCCAAGAAGGCGTCTCCGGCGAAATCATGGTGTCAAGTTGGGCCCAAGACGGACCCTCCGGCGAAATCATGGTGTTAAGTTGGGCCCAAGAAGGCCCCTCCAGCGAAATCATGGTGTCAAGTTGGGCCCAAGACGGACCCTCCGGCGAAATCATGGTGTTAAGTTGGGCCCAAGAAGGCCCCTCCGGCGAAATCATGGTGTCAAGTTGAGTCAAGTTGGGCCCAAGAAGGCCCCTCCGGCGAAATCAAGGTGTCAAGTTGGGCCCAAGAAGGCCCCTCCGGCGAGATGATGGTGTCAAGTTGGGCCCAAGAAGGCCCCTCCGGCGAAAACAACGTGTCAAGTTGGGCCCAAGAAGGCCCCTCCAGCGAAAGCATGGTGTCAAGTTGGGCCCAAGAAGGCCCCTCCGGCGAAATCATGGTGTCAAGTTGGGCGCAAGAAGCGAAATCATGGTGTCAAGTTGGGCTCAAGAAGGCCCCTCCGGTGAAATCATGGCCCAAGGCCCCTCCGGCGAAATCATGGTGTCAAGTTGGCCCAACCGGTGAAATCATGGTGTGGTTCTTGTGGCCTTTTGTGGTTGTTAGGGGTTCTGGGGGTATGGGGCCCTTTTCGATGCGCATCCTACCCACCCTACCCACCCAAAATGGGGTCAGGGGAGTCTTGGATTCGGGTTCTCAAGGGGCCTCCTTTCTTGAAGGAATCTTCTGAGGAGTACAAGCTACCGAAGCCACCCCTCAAAAGCCTGCTATGACTACAACCCAGTCGAGGGTCCCTCACTTCGTCCTCTAACTCTTGCTGTTCTTGAGTTCGGAGCTGCAGCGTCTGGCATGCTGGAGATTGTGTCGTAAAAAGCTAAAGCGGGAGTGCTTCAAAAAACTCGGAACAGTAAGATGATGGCCTCCAGTGCTATGAAAGCAGCCGCCCACCGAGAGCGGAGTAAGGCTCACTTACCCGAAGAGGCCCCACTGTTTGCAGTGGGCACCTCCCAGTTTATCTCCCCAAGAGGGATCCATGTCGGTTGAAAGCTCATGGGACAGCACATGTACAACTAAGGGTAGTTCCGGCTCTCCTCGCGACCGGAAAACAGCAATCAACTGGCCGACCAAATCAAGGGTTTGTTTCGTGGGTGAAGCAATAGTTTTGTTGCAGAGCACATGTTTTGGCAGTGTCTCCGCCTTGCAGGTGACTCCTGCCATTTGGGCCGTTCCGAAACATTGACGTTGAGTTCTGCATGATGCTCTCCAAGCCCTATCAGCACCACGGGTTTAGGGTTTGGGGCTCAGGGATATAGGGTTTAGGAGTCAGACAAGGCACCAAACAATGCTCCCATCCTCTTTCTTCTCATACTCTCGCTCATTCTCGTCCTGGACAGGGATCTTACATCAGTACTGCGTTATAGGTGACATTCTCTGAAACCTGATCAGAAGACATATTCACATCCCGAGTCCTATCTGGAGCACCCTAAACCCGAACTGTTACCCAGGAACCAAAACCCTAAGCTCCCCAACCTTGACCACCAATTGAGATCCAATGAGACTTTTCCTAATCAGGACAGGAAAGCTTGGGGAAGTTTCCGGCTCGTGTGGGTACCGCGATTCTGGGGCCCTTAAGTTTTTTGGGGGGTTTAGGGTGTCAAGCGGGGTTTCGGTTAGGGGAGAGCTGGGGTTCCAAGGGCTGAGGCCATGAAGGAAGTGACCCAGCGACGACAGTTCTGGGCAAAAGGAAGAAGATCAAGCCCTAGCAACTGACGACACAAAAAACATGGCGATGCTTCGTGGAGAAACGAAGTCCCCGAGCACGTAAACACGCACAATTGAGCACCACATCTGAAATATGCCGGCATCCTAAAGCCATCCTACAGTCAAACCCTGCACGCCCCCTGTGAAGGGTGCCTCATCTTCCTCGGCCGGCCTTGCAGCTGCAGCCTGCAAGAGTCATGAAGCGGGATCCAAGTTCAACCGCTGTTTGGTGTCCAAAGAAAGTCCGTAGGTCAATGCCAGCGTTAGGAGTGTAAAACACTCCGAAGGCGGAACCTTGCTTGTAGGGCATTATGAGGACACCGTCTTGCCTTCTCTATGCGCACACACATGGTGCAGAAACGTGCCTTATAGGTTCCTTAAAACCTAGACTTCCCCAAGCAATGCGCATTGTACTATTGATTATGTTATCCTTGACCCTGCGCTGCCTCTTCTTCAGGCTCCGCGGCCTCTGCATCCTCAGCCTCCGCAGCCGCCTCCTCCTTGGCCTTCTTGCGGTCATTCTCCTGATTGTCGTGAGAGAAAGAGTTTGGATCTAGGGTTCTTAAGGTTCGGGGTTTCCGCTTCGGGGGGATCAGTTGAGGATTCAATTTCTAGACCTGCGTCTTCTCAATCCAAACTCTTGTCTGATAAGTCTGAACCCCTGCCTAAATCCTCCGGCAACGGTATGATGCCCGCATATACCCCCCAAACCCTAATGCTGCGGCTGTTCTTGTCGCTTGCTTTGCGAGACCGTCCAGGTCGACCGTACAGGTTGCTGTGGCAGTGACAGCCAATCTGTATTACAACGTCGCTGACCCATCTACGGGCCCTGGGATCCCCATTGAAGCTTCGGATGCCTCTGCGTCTTCCTGCGCCGTCGAGATGCAAAAAGCGCCAACGGCGCTGTGTGGTGACTAGTTGGCTGGTGGTGATGCGCATGGGAAGAGCAAAATGCCTGCCACGACGGTACAGAGAAGACGACCTATTTGATGGGCACTGAGCTGGGTAGGCAGCTGCCAGTGGTGGTACAGCCATTCGAGATGATGCCAGACAAGGATCACCCCATGCGCTGGGCACCTGGGAAGAAGCACTTGCAGGCCACGCTGTTCCTCGTAGAGCTGCCGTTGCGGGCAGGGTTGGAAGCGCTCGGCACTGCTGGGCATGTTCGAGGCAAGTTGTCCGCACATGCAGGCGTATTCTGTGGATGCAAGGACAGGCTTGGCGGCTTGGCTCCTTCTGAACCCTAAGCCCTTTTGCTCCCTGGGCTGCCTCCTCTGCTTCCCTTTCGGCGATCGCCTCCTTCACCTTCGCAGTGTGGGCATCGAGGCCTTCGAGCTTCTGAACCTGAGGTGTTGGGTTTTGGAGGTTTGAGGTTTGGGTAATTATAGTGTACAGTTCAGTCTTGCCAGGCTCGGAGCGTTCGTACTTCTTAGTTAGAAAGGATTTGGGTGATGTTGAGTACAGGCAAATCAACCTTGCTACAATGCCGGGATGAAGGAGACAAGCTCATCTTTGGTAGCTGCGCTCATGGCAATAGCAACCGACAGACTGAACACGGTTCTATAGGGTACAGGGTTTAGGGACTTGAAGGGCTTTGCAGGCTCTCTACGGGTTTGGGCTTCTACTGTAAAGTCCAGGAGTTCCCTGAAACCCTCAGCCCTGTATAGAGGGGCCGTATTGAGCCTCCTACAGGTACCCTTTTGCAGCCTTGTCGGCGTGATCTGAAAGACATCACGCCAAGCCCTACATGGAGGCTTTAGGGATTATAGGGTGTCGGATGTAGGGCGTATTACCTGCCCTTACAGCCCTTTGAAAAAACATCCAAATTTTGCTCATCTGATAACACCTTAACGGTCAATGTAAAACATCGCAGGGGCCTGCGTAGCAATTGCCGGCAGGAAGCCCAGTCCTTCGTCATTAGCGCCCCGGCCTCCCCAGCAGGTTGAGTTGTGCGTGCATTGTTAGACTCCGGGGCCTACCTAGACCTTAAGGCCATCAAGGTGGAATTTAGGAGAAGTATAGAAGCCATCACAAGTACAGTCGCAGGGTGTAGTCGGTCATTATGGGTATTTGGGAGACATAGGTAGCTGAAACCACCAGGCCAGTAGCTGTCGGGTTGGCGACGCGGGGGCTCAGAACTGCATCCCGCCTACATGAACCGAGCCCCAACCCAGCCAGTCTAAATCCTATAACAAAACCCCCAAAACCCTGTAAGCATCTGTAAAGCCGGCCCTAAACCATGAGGCCCTCCACCATTTAAACCTTTCTAGCCGCGATTCTAACTCGGCAATCAAATTCACTCCTCCACCCCCACTCCGCTGACCAGCCCTTGTCAACCGCACCTCCAAAGCCTACAATTTGCTTGAGGGCTTCAGGATAATCGTCTGAGTCGTGCAAACGTTTTGCAACTTGAGCATCTAGAGGTCGACCTCCCACTTCCCTACTTCTCGCAGCATCTCCCTGCTGGAAAGCCTGCATCAGCACCATTGCCTCGGGCGGGCTAAAAGATGTGGAGCTATCATAGGACGACATACTAAGGATCCCCTACTACCCCTCACTGCCCCCAAATTGAGCGCTTCTTTCACCTCGATTAAGGAGGAGAGGCAGTAGGGCACCGGGCTTGGAATGGATAAGCCTGAAACAAAAACCAAGCCGAAACAAAGTCCGACATCAGGCCTCATACGGTGACTCATATGCCTATGACTTCAGTGTAATAAGTTCAGATCTGAAACCCTAAGCCCCTGCACAGGACCCCCAAACCCTAAGAACCCTCAGCCGAACCCTCAACCGCCGAAACCAGAAAATCCGAAACCCTAAGCCCCATGAGATGGGTTCAGGAAGGTGTGGGTGGTTTAGTTCTTCAGGGGTTTAAGGTCGGAGGGATCAGGAGCTTCAGGTCTTCGGGCTTCAGGATTGTAGAGGTTAGGGGTTTATGGGTTGTGGGGTTCAGGGGTTCGTCGACAGGTGACCGCTTGGTAGTCAATCTCGACCTCGCTCGCCTCGGTCATCCGAAGCTCCTGCAGTAGGGTGTTTTGGGCTTCGGGTTTCCAAGCGCCGAACATTACCACACCTCAAAACACCGGCAGACAAACTTCTCCAAACCCTGCTGCAATGCCTAAACTCCACCCCCAAACCCTTAATCCAAGCACCAAAAAGCCGCAAACCAAGGAAACACCTGGAAAAAAAGCCTCCCAGTTGCCCCCCCCCCCCCAAGCCTATAAACCCTACACCCGGCTCCAGGAGCATGAGCGCACCGCAGCCCACCTGGCTACCACCTGCCGCGACATTTTGCCGACAGCATCATTCGGTTAAGGTTAGCTGGAACACCTGCCCCGAAAGCCCTGAGAATTAGTGACTGTTAGGGAATTAGGCACCTGACAAAAATGTCTTTCGGATGTATGGCGCAATTCCTTGTTTAAGAACCAAGAGATCCAACATTTAATCAGCAATGCAACCAATAGATGATCCGGGAGGCCACCTCAGGTGTAGTGATTTACGCCTTTGAGGGTTGAGGATTCTTATGGGGCCGAAACCAAGAATTCTACTCTGAATCAGGCTTCAGGCTCAAACTAGAACTCCTCAAAGAAAACGCAGTTCGAAGACCGTGGGGTTGCTGTTTGCTATGGACCTGGTGCTGTGAGGTCTCCGATTTGATGGAAAGCTGGAACATCCGTGCCTTCAAAGAACTCGAAGTAGGACTCTTCTAGGTCGGTCCTGACACAGCAAGTGGAAGCCATCTCCTGTATGCATCTACCCAACCAGCTACAAACGACATGCAGCTCAGGCCGAACCCCCCTCCTCAGACCAATACGCTCGCCGGCAGGCTTGCTGAAGGGTGCACACATGCACTTCTTATATTCCGTCATGACATCGAAACCATGTTTGCTTTTAGTAGCGTCCAATGACAGCAAGAGTTGTTGAACAAGCTCCAATCTGTCCAAACCCTCACATATGGCCAGTGGTTTCAACTATGGTCCCTTAGGCGTACCAAATATACCTACCCGTAGGTACCCCAAAAGCCCAAAAGGGGCTCTAAATCAGGGAACATACTCTTTCTGGATCTCCACAACAACAAGGCTTGCGGACCAATGCTCTGCGATGTCAAGAACATGTGACAGAGTCGCGACATCTTCACAGCTCTATGCCCAGAAGCTAGTACTTGAAAATTCCTGCTTTCACGACCCGTACTCTTACTATCACTGTTCCTATTGCTCTTGCTACTGCTACTGCTACTGCTACTGCTACTGCTAGACGACGACATTGCTGTTATACTGCTTCGATTACCGTCTGCGTGCTTTTTCACAGTTACCAGAGGTCCTGGGATCTTTCACCAGCAGCTTGAGGAGCTCTTGGCGGGGAAGCGGGAGGTGCCTCGGGAGAGACAATAATCCCGATCCCAAGCCCTGAAGTTTCAGGCGCCCGAACGTGCCACGTTCACCCCTCTTCGTTCTACCTTCCGGGGATCTATGCATTTTTTTTTTTTTTTGGGGGGGGGGGGGGCGGGGGAAGGTAATTAGCTCGCATGGCGTGCCTCTGTGACTCGGTTCTTATGCGACGAAACACCCCAAGTACGAATTCAACCCTGTACACCAGTTTTAAAGGCCTCACCAAACCCTGGACTAGCGTCCTCAACCCGCAAGCCGCCCAAACTCGCAGCGCCGCAAACGCTCTAAAGAAAGGCCAAGCACGCGTCCGCAGATGCTGTGTGTTGGCTGCAACCCGTGTCCTCGGAGAGACCCAAGCCCAAAACTGTTACTGCAGGGGGTTAGGTATACGGGTTTATGTCCTGAAGCCCTCCAAATCTTTTGCTCAATCAGCCCTCAAACCCCGTCTAAGCCTAAACCGCAAGCCTCCAACCTCGAAGCCAGAACAAGAAAGATCGCCTTTTTCTGACCTGGTTTAGGCTTTGAAAGGTTTGGTCTTGTTACCCTGTTGCCCCTTGCAGGGGAAATCTGCTCCCAGCTTCAATCTCGCCGATGATGGCCATACCCAGCGGGGTCATCCGTACGTGCGACCCGTGCCAACCGTAGCCTGAGCTACCAGCTTCCGTAAGCTGTGGATTTGGGGCCGCGAGCTGAGGAGTTTTGGGGGGTTCCGGGGCCATCTTCCTGAGCTTTGGGGGGCTCATTGAATCTTCGGGGGCTGCGTGCGTTTTGCAAGGAGGGTTCAGGGATGAGGGTTTGCATGACACTGGCTGACAGCTGAGATGTATGGCTTAGCAGACGACAGCTGTACAGGATTTCAGCTGCGTGGCTATAGGCGCCAACGTTCACGTCGATGCCGGGCGCAGACATCAGGACCTTGAGAACCTGAGGCACGAAAGGCTGCGCCCTAACCCAGTGTGCTTTTCAGGCACCGGAACCCGAAGCTCTGTGCAAACTTGGCTACCTGGAGCGCTGCCCCGACTCGCCGCCTTCAACCAAAGACCTGAAACCCTACAGCCCCAACCGGTCCCAAACCCTTCATCTCCCCCACCATCTCCATTCAACCCCCCTGGCCACTTCCGCCTCAAGAGTCTTGGTCTTGTCGGTGTTGACTTCAGGATCCAGTCCGTAGTCGCGCTGGAAGGGGAAGATGCAACGACCCCACCTAGCCAGGCTTGACACTCTTAAGGCGCACCGCCTTACGCCTTCGGCGCGGCCTAGACTTTACAAGCCCAGCGTGGCACCCCGAGGCTCAGACCAGAATCACCACCCAGAACAACCCTTGAAACGCCTAAAAGCACCGGTCTACAGCTGACAGGTCTCCATAGTGCATCAAAGGCTGTGCAACAGGTGCCTTGAACCTCACGGCTTCTCCAAATGAGCTTCAGCTTTGCTGATCCTCTTGTACTTTCCGAAAAAAATAGAATACCAAGGCCCTGCACATACATGTTCTGGGATCCAAAAAAGCTATGCACCCCGGCCGGAAGTGGCAAGGCTTTGAACCCCCCCAAGCATTTCAATGTACCCCACACCCAGCAGCCCTTCCATTCCAGTTCTTGGGCTGAGGGCATGCGACCTCGTTCATCGGGGGGATTGCGGGGGCTCTCGCGGGTTTGCCCAGCCTCGACTCCCACGGCTGCCGCGTGGCCAACACCAGCGGAGACGCCGTGCAGGAGTCTCCGTCAAGGTGGTCGAAGTTCGGGTCTGCCTCTCTTCAAGCGGAACCCAAGGGCTTTTGTTGCTCCTTTGCCAGCCTTGAAGTCGCACGATTCTTGTGAAATGTGTCTGAACATGGGGTTTCTTGCAAGCGGCCATCCGCGGAACAGTTGCCAGAAGCAGAATATTCATCTTGTAGTAATCAGATTGGTTATTCATGTCAATAACAGATGAAAGATGATCTTTCTGCGCCTTCTTGTCCAGCACGGCCTGCACCCCGGCAGCGTCGCCCTTGCAGATGGCCTCGACCAGCTCCTCGCAAGAGGAGCTGTTCCTGCTCAAGTTTGGGGGGGATCTCTCACCCAAAGCCCTATAAAACTCACACAGCTGCTAAACCCAATTAAAAAAACCTCTATAAGCGACTCCGGCCCCTCGACTTCCTAAAGACTCAGCCCCCTTTAAGATTGGCAAAGCTCCTCTCGGGCCCTCAACTCCTGACGTGAAAAGACAGAAGCCCGCGCTTCGGCCGCTTCTTCGTTTTTCGGGGCCGCGGAGTCGACAGTCGACGCAGCCGAGCATGAGTTAAGGCGTTAAGGTGAAGAAAGCAGGTGCTGGAGCGAGGAATCTCAAACTTGGCAAGTCCGCTGCAGGTGCCAAACTGATCGCCGAACCCGGAACCGCGCTGCTCCCCCAATAGCTTGGACTTCACAGGACAAGAAACGCCGGAGACTCGTCGGAGACAAGCGGTACTATGGTACGACCCGAGCTGTTGGAAAGAACGCAGAGCATCAGGGGCCTGTAGAGTCTTTAGCAGCCCGAGGCCAGAGAGAACGACAACAGAGGCTCCAAGATCAACAGGGTTCCAGGGACAAGGGCCGCAGCAACAAGGATCGGCAGCACAGGCATGCGACACAGCGCGAAGACGCCCGCCAAGTTGCGCAGCAGCGAGAGCAGCGAACGGGGCGTCCTGACTAACGTGGACAATAGTAAGCCCAAGGTGCTCAAAGCCAAGCCGGGGCAGAATAATGCCGGCCTCTTTGTGCAGGGATAAGGGCAGTAGGCGGGCGACAGGCTCAGGGGCGACCCTGACATGCTGCGCCGTAAGCAAGACAAGGTCCTCCTCATCAAGAAGCTCCTGGAAACCGGTGAGCTCATTGCGAGGGCGGGAGTGGCGCTTTTGGTCCGACACATGCACTGCAAACTGCTGCAGAGCAACGCTGCACGGCCACTCCTCCGCAACCGGGCCCATGATTGCAATAAAGGCATGCGCAGCCCAAAGACATCACTGAAAGCAACCCGGCAGATGCCGGAAAACTTCAACAGGCGACCCGACGCCGAGGCCAAAGAGCGGCGGGGTCAAGCAGCTTGCGCCACCAACAGAGCCCCTGCCGTGTCTGCAAACCTCGGCATGCCATCGCTCGTGCAGGAGCGTGGTGTGCGCAGAAAAAGCACAATTAAGCAAATGCAAACGCTTCCGAAACTCTGGGCTGGCAGCGGGCCAAGAGCAAAGACATCGCAAAAAGGTAAGCCCACGAAACAACAAACACCAAAACCCTCAACTATCCCTCTCCCCCCAAACCCTCCTCAATCGTTCCTCTGGAAACAAAAGATAAACCAATGCAGGCCCCAACCCCGAAACCCCGAAGGCCATAAACCCTGTAAACTCACTGCAAACTCTAAAACCTGAATCCTAAACTATGTATAACTCTGCACCCAAAACCGTAAACACCATAAGCTCTAAACCCTCAACCCTGTAGCCTCCCCCCGAAGCCCTGTAAACTCTACAACCCTGAAAAGACCCTACCAGAAGCTGAGTCCCATAAACCATAATCCCTAAGCAGCCCCCCCCCCCCGGCTCCCGATGAAGAGCAAGGAGGCCCATCCGATCCACAGACACCTTGGCAAAGGACCTCGGCCCAACAGAAGCCTCCCACAGCCGAGACAAACCCCTTGAACCCTATACATATCCATTCCGACAGGTGAAACCATAGGAAGACACGGAAGTGCCCAAAATCGCTAGTTTTCCTGTGGAAGCACTCATGCCACGGTCATGCAACAGTCATGCAACATTGCATGCGACACTGCCAAAACCCCTGAACCCTTGACCCTGCCTGGACCTGCTAGTGCCGTTGCAGTTCGATTTTGCGGGTACCAATTCTTCATGTGTTACGCTACGAGTACTACTAACCTTCATGTGTGGTATTCAAGAGAGAGCTACAAAGGCGGTGGGGGGTCAAGGGAGACTCCCGTCGGCTGTCCAGTTGCATTATCTTCTCAACCTCCGCATCCGTCAGAAAGCCCTGAAGGCTTAGGCTTTCTTCGCGGCTTTTGGGGGCTCCGAGCTTTCCGGGTGTCCAGGTTTCTACAAGAGAACCTCTGGGGAGGAGGATTTGCTGTTTGGATTGGGTACATGAGGAATTGCCCCTGCTAAGGCCGTGCTGTGCGATGACCTGGGTGGATGTGGGCTGCATGAAGAGCAATGTTCAGAACAGTAGATACTTGGCAAGACAGCCGGGTGGTGTTCGCCCCAACAAAAAACGGCAGTGGGTATTGCTGCATGAACCACCTGAAGAGGTCTGCTCGATCGCATCCTAACCCCTTCACCTGCGTAGGATCAGGATACCTTGCGACTTCAATGAGTGAAAGCCTGAACCCAATTTCTTGTCACCCGCGTCTCAACACCAAACGAAGAATTTGGTATGTCCCAACTCAAGATCCTCAAACCAAAGCAGACAGCTTCCTGAATCGACTTTCTTGTTCATATTCCCCAGCTCTCCCCCAGAACAGTGCTGACCCTTTTCGCGGAACTCTAAACACTCAATTCGCCCTCAACCCTAAACCCTTAAACCCTGAACCCTCGCTTCCCCCGGCACCTTGTAGAGCTCCTTCTTTCCCTCGGCCACCTCTCGCATGCTCCCGTACCCCAAACCCTTAAACTCCGCGCCCTTCCTCTTCAGCCCTCCCACCCCTTCAGAGTGCTTTATGCGTTGATTCAGTCATCGTATCTCAGGGTCCTCCACACCCCGTATTCCCTAACATCCATGGGTTTGGTTCGTCCACCGACGTTGAGGACAACGCGTGCGCTGACCAACCCAAAAAGCCTTTCGCACCGACGTTGTGGACAACGCGTGTGCTGACCAAACCCCAAAAGCCTTTCGCACCGACGTTGTGGACAACGCGTGCGCTGACCAACCCAAAAAGCCTTTCGCACCGACGTTGTGGACAACGCGTGTGCTGACCAAACCCCAAAAGCCTTTCGCACCGACGTTATGGACAACGCGTGCGCTGACCAACCCAAAAAGCCTTTCGCACCGACGTTGTGGACAACGCGTGTGCTGACCAAACCCCAAAAGCCTTTCGCACCGACGTTGTGGACAACGCGTGCGCTGACCAACCCAAAAAGCCTTTCGCACCGACGTTGTGGACAACGCGTGTGCTGACCAAACCGCAAAAGCCTTTCGCGCCGACGATGTGGACAACGCGTGTGCTGACCAAACCCCAAAAGCCTTTCGCACCGACATTGTGGACAACGCGTGTGCTGACCAAACCCCAAAAGCCTTTCGCGCCGACGTTGTGGACAACGCGTGTGCTGACCAAACCCCAAAAGCCTTTCGCGCCGACGTTGTGGACAACGCGTGTGCTGACCAAACCCCAAAAGCCTTTCGCGCCGACGTTGTGGACAACGCGTGTGCTGACCAAACCCCAAAAGCCTTTCGCGCCGACGTTGTGGACAACGCGTGTGCTGACCAAACCCCAAAAGCCTTTCGCGCCGACGTTGTGGACAACGCGTGTGCTGACCAAACCCCAAAAGCCTTTCGCACCGACGTTGTGGACAACGCGTGTGCTGACCAAACCCCAAAAGCCTTTCGCGCCGACGTTGTGGACAACGCGTGTGCTGACCAAACCCCAAAAGCCTTTCGCGCCGACGTTGTGGACAACGCGTGTGCTGACCAAACCCCAAAGCCTTTCGCACCGACGTTGTGGACAACGCGTGTGCTTACCAAACCCCAAAGCCTTTCGCGCCGACGTTGTGGACAACGCATGTGGGGCCCGGCAACCTCGCATTTTGTGTAGGGCTTACATAAATCCAGGGTTGTAGGTTTTTAGAACTTAAAAGGGAGCTCATGGCAACAGCGCGAATTGTTCTGAACCCCCCAACCCCTCCCTCATGCTTATGACCGTGCTGACTCTTCGTGATCGCACACTTTGTGTTGAGGGGTTGAAGGAAGGAGCCCTAGAAGAGACCCTTAATGTTATTCCCCTATACAACCCCTATATGTACTTTAAGTCCCTATATACCAAAGTAGCCCCTAAATAACCCCCAAATAACCCCTGAGGTCCCTCATAAGGGTCCCTCCTTTAGTCCCCTGATTGTGGTAAGCTGCGTCGCAACACCTTATCAACGCCTAAACTGCCCCGACCCCTTTATGATGCCCTTATGCTTATGCCGGACATGAGCATTGGGACTTGCGAGGTCCCTCGGCCCTTGGGCAACTTGACCATAAACGCACCTACACGCTCCACCCTAAGCCTCAGGTGACCGCGCACGTCAAGCATATCCTGACTTATCCTGAAACTCCCTGATACGCTGCGCGTCTGGGACCCGAAGCTGTAAACTCAACAGAGCTTGGCTGTTGCCTCCAACAGCTTGGCTGTGGCTAAGAGATAGCCGCTCTCCGCATACTCGAAAAGGATCTGCAAGTTGACGGGGGGGGAGGGGGGCGTTATAGTTTTGGAGTTTTAGGGTTTGATGCTGCTAGGCGCACTTCTGCATCAGGGGTGGTTTTAAGTTACGGTCCTTTTGCGGGCGGGGGCCCAAAGGAACTCTCTATTGCAAAAAGTTGCCTACAAGGGAGCCCTGCATGAAAACGACCACGTCTGGTCAGCACTTCGAGAAATCTTGTCATTTGGGCTTCAAACACCCCATAAGCCCGAAGCCCAAAGACCCTCAGCCCCAGACCCTAAACCCAGAAAACCCAGGAACCCCTGACTCCCTGACTCCCTGAATTTCAAACCCAGGGGAGGCGCAAGAGACAGCAGCGCTGCGTTTGGCCAAGGTTACTCCACTTCTCCCTCTTGGTGTTGCTTCAAGGGGTGTTTGGAGTACCATCAAAGACAGCACCTGACGTCTTCAAGATCGGTGCACGTGGCTCAGAGACTTATCGGGTGGCGTAAACTGGAGCCTCCCATTACTCGGACACCGTGGCTGCATGAAGTAAGCCTGTACAAGGCTTTTGACGCGTTAAACCTAAACAACCGCATGTGCGCGCACGGCGCGCGGGGTCTTTAAATGAACCTCTCGGTGTTGCTGCTGCCCGGGACGCGCTCGCCTAGATGCCGTGCGCGTTCCAGGTCGTATGCTCCGACCGTCTTGGTAATATCAACTGCCCGCGTTTTCCGCGCATTTCGGAGTCTCGGAAGGGGATTTGCCTTCGTGTGTCCTTTCGGGGAGATGCATCCCGTGGTGTTGCAGCTCTCACCCGTCTCAGCCTCTTGAAGGGGTCTTTGGAGTGGTCCTTTCACTCCTTGCAACGCCTTTCAACGCCTTTTCAAGGATCTTGGAGTTGTTGAAGTCATCTTGGAGTGATTTCTTGGCTCTTGGAGTGCTCTTGCAGTGCTCTCGGGGTTGATCTTGGAAAGCCTTTGATCCCTTATCATCAAAAAACTCTTTACACTTTCAAGTAGAGTACCGTTTAGATCAACCGCCCCCCCCCCCCCCCCCCCCCCCCCCCCCCAAGTTACTTTGCAAACGCGGATGGCCTGTGGATTGCCGTTCTCATCTTTCTCCTCCATCGCTTGGAGGAGGCTGTCTTTGCCTGGGTTGGGGTTTAGGTAACCCCCATGTAATCCTTCAAGGCTAAAAAGAAAGTATGGGGGTATTGCAGGATTTGGTATGATTTGGTGCCCGCGCGTTGTTGGAGCAATCCTTTGCTCCTTTGGTTGTCAGCTGTGGCGGCCAGCAAACTTTGAGACATACTGCGGCCAGCAGTTGCTTGACCTCCCGATTTTTTGGGGGGGAAGGTGCTGCTTCGTCTGCCATGGTTTTCCATGCTTGTGGTACGTCTTGGAATAGATTGTTATGCCTCGGAAGCTGGAAGCATCTGGCTTAGCACATGGGGCTGTTCTCCGAACCCGGAGCCCTGGAAGCTCCGCCCTCCGCCTCCGCCCTCCTCCCTCCTCCCTCCTCCCTCCTCCCTCCTCCCTCCTCCCTCCTCCCTCCTCCCTCCTCCCTCCGCCCTCCGCCCTCCGCCCTCCGCCCTCCGCCCTCTGCCCTCCGCCCTCCGCCCTCTGCCCTCTGCCCTCCGCACTCAAGCTTAAGGTCTAACCTCAGCTCCTGAACTGCTGAGTATGAAGCTGATATTTCGCCTCGGCTTCCTGCCGAGAAGAGCTTGGAACAAGCAGACACGCATCCGGTTTTGTGACGCACCCCGCGTGGGACCCCCCCCCCAAGCTTGGAGGAACCGATGCCGTGGGGTCCTGCTCCTTCAGAGGGGGCACTGCAAAATGCAACTTTGAACCCCTCCTAGGACCCCTTGGACCCTTCCTGGGACCCCTCCCCTTTTTTGAGGCCTTTCCCAGAAACCCTCTTTCCGCCTTTCCTGTCCGTGGGCCGGCCCGGCTGCCGAGGCGGCGCACGCAAACGTTTACAATTATCCGTTCCCTCTGCAATACGGTGGGGGCAACAACTGTTTTTCCCCTAAATAAGGCACGAAACTATATGAACAATCATCGTCGGATCTATGCCGCCAGGGGGGCATTTGGGTAAGAGCTCATCTGCCAGTGCCAGCTTCCAGGCGGCATCATAGTCCTACGTGTTCAGGACTTGAGGGTTTAGGGTTTAGGATGCGGTTCATGAACCCGAAGCAGTAGATCATAACCCTCTTGGGTTCAGGGTTGAGTGTTTGCGGTCTACTGTAGGGCCTATAGGGCTGTGCGGCTTACTCTTCGGAGCTTTTGCGGGGTAACAATTGGACGCAGGGTTTTTGGAGGAACACCCCACTGAACTATGAACCAAAAGAAATCGAAAATTACCTTGGGTCCAGGTGAATCATGATGAGGGCCCAAGGTTGTGAGAACTAAGGCTGAACGGCTTAGCTACTACAACTTGAGCCTCGATTCTGCCAAACAGGTAGCCCGGTTCGAGTTACTTGAGGCATTCACTCTGCGCCTCGCCAAAAAAGGGCATCGCGTTCTCAACCTCAGGTTGGGGCTCTTGTATGCTTCATAGGATTCGAAAGGTTGGTAAGAAACCCAAGGCCCTCAAACCTGCATTTGCAGGGGTGTTTAAAGCCAAGCCTTGTGGTTTTGGGCCGTGTGCTCCCGTTTGCTAGATGATAATCGATAAGGAATGCGCTGTGATATTTGTGGAAGGCACCGAAAAATATAATCCCTACCCCCTCGACCCAAAAAAAGGCGCACGATGAATATGACAGTCATAACACAGATCAACCCCATAAAAGAGCCCTGAACCTTAAATAGCCGAAGCTAGGCGCACTGAAGCCAGCTAGGGGGGGTTAGGATGTGACGGCGCGGGTGGGTGGGGCGGGCGAACGATGCGCTCAGCAGAGACTGGAGACTTGCTTCAGGAAGGTGACCCCAAACCCTCTAACCTTTGAAAGCCTCATCAAGCCAACCGGAACCGTGAGGACGTTTTAGGGCTTCGGCCCCTATTTTTCGACCCCAGACCTAACAACTCCTTTAACTTATATTTTCATGTATATAACTGTGTACATCCATTGAGCACGAATTCCGACATTGCGAAACCCTAAGCCCTGTAAACCCCCAAACCCTACACTGAACCCATGGACTTTAAACCTTTGCGGCGGGGTCGCGAAGAAGCGGTCCCAGTCCAGCTTTTCGAAGCTTCCCGCCGGCAGCGAACGCAACACCGCGTAGACGAGGCCCTCGCCTCTTCTTGTAGGAGGCTTGAGGCCCTATAATGCCTTAAAGCAGTTTAAATCCTATAGATGCCTACTTCTGAGGGCGGTGCGAGAACAAAATGGCAAAGGCCTTACACTGTAAGCCCTGGCAAAGCACTATAATTAAACCATAGGACCTTATGCTTTCGAGCAGCTCCTTTGTTCTGCAGTCCTAGCTTGGCTCGTGCCACATCTGGGACCGAGCACCACAGGGCAAGAGGCCAAGCCATAATCCCCAAAAACTCGCATCCCCGATTCCCTCCTTGCGTATTCGGAGTGAGTCTTCATGGTGATCTTGTGTCTTGAACTTAGGGTTCGGGGTAATCCGCGCCTTTGATTCCTATAACCCCTAGTACATTAAAGAGCTTTTTCAGGAATCAACAAAAGCAAAAACAAACTGAGCTTGTGAATCTGTAAAAAGATCTTCAAAGCAAATCCTGGGGAAGAGCGGCCGCGCAGAGAACGTCCATTTGCTGCGGGGTTTGACATATTCAGTTGTAAATGCCTGTGGTACAGAGGGGCCAGGAGCAAATGATTTTGGCTACGGATCAGGCAAGCGAAGTGGCAGTTTTCCGCTACGCAACGCTTATTCTGCCTGCAGATTGCGGTCTGCAGAAGATGGGGAGACCTTCCACAACTTGACAAAACTTGCAACTGCAAGGGGCGTTTGTAACAGTGCGCCTCCAACAGAAAGAGCGCACTTGAGGATCTCCTTGGGATGATCCTTTGGCGCGCACGGTCTCACACAACAGGCCCCAAACCCTTTTAGACCTGAAACCTGAACCCGATACCCCTAAACCCCAGGTCATGCAGAACCTTCTCGCCAAAGTTGAATCTTAACCTTTAGGCCCTATAGACCCTGAAAGCTACACCCAAACCTTCCGGAAGCTTATCAGCTTGATTCTCATCTGATTTACCGAAAACCCTATAAACCATGAACCTAAACCCTGTGGGGCCTGCTTTGAGGGATTCTCTGAGTCATCTTCAGATTTAGAAGCTGCCAGCCATCTTCAGTCAACGTAGGGATTGGGGTTTCAAGTTTAGGAGCTGGGGGGTTCAGAGCTCGGGACTTCCGAATTTTAGGGGTCCCGTTTCGAGGTTGAATTCACCAGGTTTTCTTGAGGAATGTTGAGTTGCAATCACTTCAAGAAGGCTGCTCGAAGCTTCCTATACACTTGCTATACACTTGGCTCAGCGTTTCAACTTAAGTGCATTCCGAAGATTGCCTAGGAAGGACTATCATTCACACCTGCGCAGTACCACACGTGATGAGTCAAGAGCCGTGCCAGGTGCATCAGTTCCCAACCCTGAACCCGTTCACCAGGTCTACGGGAACTGCTCTCACAGCTTGCAGGTTTGGGCTGTTGGCGGGTGGGCTCTGCATGTCGGTGATCTCACACACGTAAGACCCTAAAGCCCTATAAAGCCTCAAATTTTGGAGCCAGGCCGCCATGCCGAAGGAGTCTTTGAGGATGCTACTTGCGCGGGTGTAGTCCATCGGCCTCGGTTCAAGAAGGTTTGCTTGCTTGGTAAGCAATCGGCCTCCCATTCGGCCATTTCCGGCTTTTCGTAAAGGAACAAGGGCTTCTGGAGAAGGCGCCAGGGCTCCAGGAACTTGACCCCCCAGACCTGTACCCCCTACTATTAACCCTGAACCCTGTGCCCTAAACCCTGAAAGTTTTGGGTCTCGGGCTCCACTCGCCTAAGTGTGCGGGGCTTGTAGGGTTTAGGGCTGAGGGCTCAGTAGTCTGAGGGAGCAGGGGTTTGAGTTGGAGGGCTTTGGGGGCTTTAAGGCTTTTTACAAGATGAATTCATGCGTTCTAAGGAATTCAGGCTTCAGAACATTACCCTAAACCCTAATTAAACCCTACACCCCAAACCACAGGGCCCTTCTTCGGGCTTCGGCAAGAAGAAGTCGACTCAAACATTTCGGCCAAAGAGGCTGGCTGGGCCGGACAATCTGCTTCACTTCGGGCAGAGCCTGGGGGAGCGGAGGCCTTTTTTTTTTTTTTTTTTTGGGGGGGGGGGGGGGGGGCGTTTGGGGGGAAATCTCCAATAGTCCTATAGCGTTCTATGGTCCTAACGACCCGAATAACAACATCTAAGAAAGTCTAATCACGCCCAATCCCTAACATCACCCTAATGACTGGGGGCAGAGTTAAGTTTACGATCTGATCATGCTGTATGCACAGTAAGGGGGCATGCTATTGTGGGCTTGAAAACTACAACATGAAGGGTTCTCCGACATGAAAGGTCTTCATTTTGTGCCGATGCTCTCGTTCCACGCCCGGCATCCTAAACTCCAAGTTTAGGCTTTGCTTGCGGTAAGGCAGAACTCCCTGAATGCCAGAAGGTCCACCTATGGTAGGCACCCCAGACCCCTGTGCATTGATTCTTTGGTACCTATAGTTAATGTTTTTCCATGATGAAATGGTGCGATGAACTCAGGAAGCCCGAATGAAGTCCTTTCCCCGCCTGACGCCACTCGATGACATTGTTCTCGCTGTCGTACTCCTGGGCTTTGCAAATATGCAACTGAAACCAGTTTTGGCTACACTATGCCCCCCCCACCCAACCTCCTCGAATCCCAACCCCGCACCCTGAAACCGAGGAACCCCTGCACGCCGGAACCCCTCGGTCCTTCTGTAGCTTCGCATAGTGCACGAGCACTTTTTTCATCTTCCCCCGGCTGACCGTGCCTCTGAGGAAGCCTTCCACCGGAGGGTTCCAGGGGTTTAGGGCGCCAAGCTTTGACAGCCTGCCCTCCGAACATACGTCAGACCTTCGAGAACCTTTCTTGGTTAACGAGGCTACATATGTGGAAGCTGCCATGTGCATGTGCAGGTGCACAGTGTTCTAGTAAGTGATTGTGGGATGGCATTATGGGGGGCTTTGTGGGGTTTTCATGGGTTCGCCGCTTCTTCGCCATCGGATTCTGAGGTACAGAAAAGGCTGGCCTTTGAAAAGCTTGTTGGGAAACTGAGGGTACTCTGCGTCTTCGTCTTCCCACACCTCAACTCGCTTTTGCAAGGGCTTGAGGGTATGGAGATGGCCAGATCGCTATGGGCCCCAAAGCACGAAGCAGCTAGGACGCCATTTCGGCCGCGACGTCCACGGGCTCATCTTCGCCGGTGTCGGCCACCTCCTCCTGAATCCCCAGACACTCCGTGTGAGGATGATGGCGTTTAGGGTGCAGCATTTGGGCTTGAGATGGGTTTGGGGGGGCATTGGAAAAGCTCACCCAACGTCCAAACGTGTTGTTTTGACCCAGTTCAAAAATGAAGCCCCTTGCGGGGGCACCTTTTGGAGGACCTTTTGGACATTTTTGCATAAGGTATCCATATGCCATTGTGAAGGGTATCTGAATTTTGCAGAAGAGCTTGAGCTGTCTCTGACTTGCCGATGCCCCAACGTCACACATCTCCTAAGAGATAAGAGCCCTCCCAAACTAAGCCCCAACACTCGAAACCCTGAGCGCTCTCCAGGATTCAGGGTTTGAAGCTCTCATAGGGCAAGAAAACAGAACACAACTCCCCCTCCCCCCCCCCGCCCCGAAACCCTAAGTCTACATGGACACTGAAGCCTCCAACTCCAGCTTCTTGGGCACGGAGGACCCCGAGCCCATGGCGTCTTCGCTGCGGGGCGCGGAAGACGACGGCGCAGCCGTAGGGCGGGCGGCTTGAGCCCGGAAGGCCGGGGTATGGGGGTTTAGGGTCTAATGGTTCAGGGTTCAGGGTTAGGGACCTGAGCAGCCTTGCAAATTTCAGTGTTGGGTTTGCAGGGTTTGTTGGGCTTGTAGGCTTTGCTGGGCTGGCATTCTTGGTGCCGTGTCGTTCGAGGATTCTGAGCCTCTGGTTCTTCTTTCTTCAGACTTCACACCCCACACCCCCCACACGCACAAACATCCCAACGACCCTGAAAGTTTCTGAATCTTGGAACTCTGCAGAGAAGTTGGCAAGCAAGACCTGGGTGAAGATGCCCCGCTCTTCGGCCCAGCGCAGCTTCTTTACCAGATAGGGCCAATCCTCTTGAATTAAGGTAAGCCCCAGCCTGACCCTGAAAGTTATACACGAAAAGTAACACAAAAAGCAAAAATGCAACATTCTTCGACTCTTGGAGTTGTCCTCTACCCGTGATTGCACATATCTGCAGGGATTTTGGGAGGACTTCTATAGTCTACCCAGTGCAGAGGTCTTGCAAGAACTTACCTCCTGGCCAGGCAAGCTTGAGTCCACTATAGTCCACTCCTTCGGCAGGTCGCGAAGGACGTCTGCGAAATAGCGGTCCTGCCGGAGAAGGGCTGTTTGGGTGAAGAGGATCACGAACGTGATCAAGGCCTGTTGATGATGTGAATCGCTTCGCCTTTGTTCTATGTTGTCCAACGGCTGTTCGGATGCGAAGCCCCCCAAAAGCGGGAGAAGCAAAGCCGCACTAAGCCCGTCTCAAGAGTCTCTGAAGACAAAAACACAAGCGACCACAGCGGAAACACGGTCTAGAACTCTGGCTTGGGGGTCTCTGAATAGCAGGGGTATCCATTTTGGGGTTCCTATCATCAGGTTCAGAGCATGTTGGTGTACAGAATGGGTACCCCTACTTCGAGAATGACCCTTTGAGGGTTCAGGGTTCAGGATTTGGGGGGCCTTCCGGATTCTGTGGCGCACAATCCCTGTGCCTCGAACATGCGTGGCTCGAGGGCCTTCATGCGTGCCCACATCTCCTCGGCCAAGGGTTTTTTTTGGGGCGACCGTGAGCCTTCAAGGCACACGAGGCTTTAGGGCTTGGGGTTGGAGTTTAGGCTTCGTCAGGTTTATAGGGCTCAGGTTAAAAATTTCCAGCCCCGAAACCCTCAATCACTCGTGGTTCAGGGAGTGACTGGTGGAAATCACCTTTTCGAACCCTTTTGTACTTTTGGACATGTCCGGAATCCGACTGATGTCGGCAACAAAGCACAAACACGATGCGGGCAGTTCCCTATAGAACACGGCAGCCATCTTGAGAATGAACTCCTTTAGCTAGCCAAAGGCAAGCAGCTACCAATTCACAGGGCCCCTGAACCGTAACTCTTTGCCCTTCCTTGCTGGAAGTGAAGTCCCTCAAGCATCGCTGGAACCTGCATCTGTGCCAATCTGTGCCAGGCCTTCAGCGGCTGTCCGGGCATATGTGGCACCTCAGGGCATTTCCGTCAAGGGCACACGTTGTCACATCATCATCATCCTGCCAACAATAATGAGATGAAGCACGCTGTTTGGTCCACCACTGGAGGAAGCGGGTGCCCATGCTTCAAGGCAGGGCCAAAATGTGCAATCCTGCTCCTCTTTCATGTACGAGCCTCCTGCAGAGCCGGCCCTTTGTCCGACTTTCTTTGCCAGCTCTGGAAGACAGTCGCTGGGCTTCTTGCATTTGTTGAACTGTTCAAAGCTATAAGGTCATTATGGTATTGTTAAAGGGCCCGCCGCCTCTTTGCAAGCCTTAGGTCGAAGCTGGGATCTGCGCGTGACAGCAAACGCGCAATTTCGAGGTGGCCATGGGACTCAGCGAAGCTGAGGGCTGTGTTGCCGTCGTGGTCAGCCACTTCGGGGTCCGCCTTGGCTTTTAGCAGCTGCCGCACGATTCCAACATGGCCAAGCCGTGAGGCATCACCAAGAGCTGTCCTTCCAATCGAATCAACAAAGTCGATACCTGCGCTGGCTTCCAACAATAGCTGTACACTGTCTGAGCTGCCGTGGTAGGCTGCCAGAATGAGAGCCGTGTTGCCTTCGTGGTCCGCCAGGTTCTTGTCTGCACCGGCTTTCAGCAGCATGCGCACAATCGCAACATGGCCGTGGCCAGATGCACGTATGAGTGCCGTGTTGCCCGATACGTCCGCGATGTCTTTGCTGGCACCGGCATCCAACAGCAGCCGGGCGGTGTCAACGTGGCCATTGGCAGATGCAAGCACAAGAGCTGTGCTGCCGAAGCTGTCAACCGAGTTCCTGTTTGTTCCGGCCTCCAAAAGCAAAGACACTGTCTGAGCCTGGCCTTTCACCGCCGCCGCATGCAACGCGGTCCTGCCATCACTGGCAGCCAAGTCCTTATCGGCAGCAGCCTCCAGGAGGAGGCGAACAACGTCATCGTGGCCACAGCCTGATGCGTTCATCAGCGGCCTTTCCCCAAACATGCTCAGTGACATGCTGCGTAAGTCCGGATCTTGGGGACGCTGCAAGATGGCCTCAACTCGAGACACAACGCCTCGTAGTGCCTCGACAGCGAGCTCGTTTGCTTGAACCTGCGAAGCCTGGATGAAGGGCTGCAAGACGAGCTGCACATCGACGATGGCTTCCAAGGAGGCAGAGTCCTCCAAAATATTGCCCTGATGAAGGAGTTTCTGCCGGAATCGCGTGGGAAACCCGCGCTTCTGGAGGTACTGCTTGAGAGCCTTTGCATCGCTCAGCTCCTCCGAAGGCAGTGTCGCCAGCTCTTCGCCGGAGAGTGACCAGATGTGCAGCATCTAGGGATCGAGTGCCCAACTCCTCGATTCACGAACTATTGGGTTCTGAATGGCAGTTCTTCCGTTGGGGGAACGGAGTACAGAAAAGCTGCAGAAACCCAAAGTCCCAAATCGGCTTAGTTTTCTTGTTTCGGGACACTCTTCATTACACTTCAATCCCTAAAGCTGTGTCCGCTTAAGCAGTCGAGCAGCAGTGGGAAGCGGACGTCTGATGTCGGTGCTCCGACGCGCAAAGACCGAACCCTAGACCCTAAGCCTTCGTAAAGTCTCAAAATCACTTTAAACCTCGATTCTTCCCAAAAAAACCCATCCTCATTTTTGTTCATGCTAACCCCAAATAAGGACCTGGACAACAGGGCTTCGGGGGCTTAGGGAGTTCAGTGTTTCAGGTGTTCAAGGATAGGATATGGTACTCTAAGGGGCTGCTTGAGGATAAGTCCAAGCTTCGGGGATTTGGGGCCCTCGGGGGGTTTCGGATTAGGTTCTATATCTAATAAAAGTACACTTGAGGGTTTGGCAGGGGCCTAGGGTTTGAGTTTAGGAGTTCGAGGAGAAGCTTCGGAACAACGGTCTTCTCTTCATGACTTCACGAACAGGCCCACGGACAAGGGGGAGCATGGCATAGAAGCGCTTGCTCCCCTGAGCCTAAACCCAGTTAAGACCTATAAACCCTAAACCCAAAGTGGTCCTCGCACCATTCATAGAACCTTACAACCATCATCTACTTACCCGGAAGTACTGGACACCACAATCTCAGTCGCACCTTTTATCTCACTGCACGTTTCGCTAGCGCGGGCTCTACGATGCCGAAGCGATGACCAGCGAGTCTACAGGGTCCTAGTGTTTCGGTTCATGCTGGGCTTCCTGCTGCCCGGTGGCTTATTCAGGCGTCTGAACACCCCTAAAAGCTCAAGAAACCAACTGAACCACACCAAGAGTTTCGGGGTTGCATTCTACCAGGCCCTTGTTGAAGAGAGATGCGTCCCAAGGTGTTCAGGGTTGTAACCCGCCATGAACCCTAAACCCTAAACCCTACACGCTAATAAACCCAACACCCTAAACCGAAGGGTTAGGATGGGGGGGGGGGGGGAGATCAGGGGGAGATCAGAAGAGGCCGAAGAGCTTCGAATCGGCTTGGCGGGACCTTGGGGGGGGGGCACTGGCTTGCCGGGCTTCCGCGCCTCGGAAGGGTGTGTTTGGCATGGAGGTGATTAGAAAAGGCAAACGAACCGGTTGTTTTTTGGGGGTTTAGTGGGTCGGCTTGTGTTGAAGTCATCGCTTTGGGTGTAGGGTTTAAAGGCTTGAGGGCCTGAGGGTGTAGGGCTTAGAGGGGTTATGGGTTTGTAGGGTCTCGCGTTCATTCGGGCTTGGGCGCGGGGAAGGGCATCTACGAAGGGTGGAAAGGTCGTCTCTGGATCTATGATATTTTTAACAGGGGATGAAGGAAGTGTTTGCGCGGAGGATTCCTTGAGCCCACCCTGCCCAAATGCCAAAGCCCCTACCCCCTACTGCAACTCTTCAACCCATTAAACAACCTACAAGCCCCTTTTTGAACTCCTAAGCTCCTGAAACCTAAGCATCCCCAACCCTGACTTCGTAAAGCCCCAACCCTAAACCCTAAACCCTAAACCCTAAACCCTAAACCCTAAACCCTACATCGGCTGGCTCGTGTGCCAAGCAGCACAACATCTTGCAGCTTCTGCGCAGTGCCCTCACCGAAGGCCTGCAACCAAAGGCGGAACACAGAGGCCTGTCTGACTAGAATGGGTTTTGTGGGTAGCTTAAAGGAGAGAGAGAGATATATATATATACATATACATGTATATATGAATACACGATGTGTGTATATTTATATGTGCATGTCTGTATCAGTATATAGATGGGGAGTAGAAGGGGATGATTTAGCCCTGCATATGTCGTTCGGTTCCTCGCCACCCATTCTTTTTGCACAGGGACCCGAACCCCGACAAACCGAACCCCAACTCCTTAAACCACTAAGCACTATGCATCCCCCGCAACTCCTCCCTTACCTTGATCTTGGACGCCGCTGAGCCCTGGATTTTGCACCCCAAGTAACAACCCATCAGCCCACACATGATCTAACTATACATGATTATGTATAAATTTGCATGTGCTTACTTGTTTCTTTCGCTCACACCAACCTAGCTAGGGCCCAGTGATGTCTATCCATCTATCCATCTATCGATCTATCTATATGGGAAAGCTGTGTATCTCGACATACGGCCTTGGCGTAGGCCGGCCGCTTGAGAAGCTGCAGCATGTAACGCCTGGCGGAAGGGAGCTCGACTCTGTGACCCCATACATGACAAACAACGTCGACCATCGAACTTGAGGATTGGAACACTTCTTCGAGCATTCCTGACACCTTTCAAAAAAGCACGCGTTTGCACAGTAGATTGCGCGAACATGTAAGCCCCTGCTGGCGGGCTCCTCGGAAGTATGTGGCAAGCGTTAGATCTAGGTGTGCCAATCCGAAGGCTTTCTTCCGTGAGCACCAAGAATGCCGCCGGGGGTGCTGAACGTTGGGCCAGCGAGGGAGCGTGTTGATGTCGGGGAAGAACAGTGGTACCTCGCAAACAAATTCCCAAGAGCTACTCCGCATTTTCCTGATGGATGTTGATCTATAGTAGAGTCTAGATAGAGATCTCTCGCTCAGTAGCTCTGAAGTCTCCCAAAGCTGTCAAGTGCCGAGGGCCCTGACATGACTGTTGCCACAAGTCGGGCCTTCTAAGGGTTCTTCGGCCCGCTTAGGGACTGTAGGGCTTGCGCAAGTACCACTAGGGCCTTGTACGGGAGAAAGGTTCTACAGCCTCAAACATGCTCAGAGCCCTTGAGGGCACATACAGCAAGTAGGAGCCCACGGCCACGTCGGCCACAGAGAAGGACTCCTGTCAGGGCCCTGCTTGGGATCTAGGGTTCACATACGGCTCGTATGCACAGCCATAGGGTGTAGGTTTCGAGATTCTCAGTCTCTTTCCGATTCATAACTAGGGTTCAGACTCTCGTCTAGCATTTTGGAGCTACAGATGAAGGCTTCGATCAATCGAAGTCCTCTCCGCTGCCGAGAAGAAACTCGCGATCAGCGAGGAATGCGTCGAGTGTCCTCGCCACAGGGCGAAACCCCTGAAGCCTATACTTCCGCTTAGGGTCCAAGCTTCATACCATATGCCCTGAACCGAAGACCCAAACTTAAACCACAAAGCCCTAGGCCTTGAAACGTGTACCTCTAAATTGTTGAACCCTAAACCTTGCCTCGCAGGAACCCACGAAAAGCTTCAGATAAGATAAAGAGCTCTTGGCAACACTTATTGATGGAAGGTGTACTTATATGCTTGTGTCCGTGCCAAGTGCGTCTTTCGGGGCTCGGAGTTAGCAAATGTTTCCAACCCTAACCCCTCTAATTCTGAGCCCTGAACCCTAAACCTAACCTTACACACAAACAATCGTCATCACTACTACTCGAGGCCACTCGCCTGAGAGCCGGCGGGTCGTCGGCCAGGCCCGTCCCCAGCACGCGGCCGTTGCCGTCTTCCTGGTGTCGCAGCTTTGTGTCTAGTTAGAAGTCATCTCTAAATTTAGAATCCCAAGTTGGGGAAAGTAGGTGTGCATATGTGAGTCTGTGAGTAGAATATGTAGATATTGTATATATATATATATATATATATACATTTATACAGTATGCATATTGAAAATAGCCTTACATGTTATGTGCAATATTCTGAGGGGTGTACCTTGGACCCTTAAGGTTGGACCCCTGGGTTTTTGGAGACACATTTTAAAGATCCTTAAGGGTATACATAGGCCGTTTTAGGGAGAAATTAGGGAAACCTTTATGTGTACGAGTCTTAAACCCTTGAAACATAAGCCCGAGACCCTACAAGTCCCAACCCCAGTTTTGCAGCATTGGCTTTGGATTTGGTGCTGCTGTGTCTTTTCGAACTAGGGACTTGGTTCGGTACACCTGCGCTTTCGCGGATTTCACGACAAAGGACTCAAAGGACTCCAATTCATGAGGCATAGGTGCGCAAAATGCGGATCCAAAAGAGCGCAAGATTCGATTGCGCCGGGTTCCCGGCATTCAAGGAGGCCGACTGGACTTTCACACCTACGAACATTGAAAATGCCCGAAAGCATAGCGATGACCTCTGCACACGATATGCCCACGGCACTCAAAAGGCCAGAGCCGCCTGCTCCCGAATTACCCAGCTCTTCACCGTTGTCAGCAAGAGAAGTCACTATGTGCCAGAAATCTGTGTAAGCGGCCAGCACATTCAGAAGCATACAGCACGCAGGTCTAAGAGGAGAACACTTAGCACTGAACCCCAAAATGCTGGTCTTTTGGCAGGGAGTTCATGAAGGTTCAGTTCCTAAGGCCCTTGTAAAGAACCAGCAAAGGTGGTCCTTGAAGCAAATGGGGTCCAAGCTGGCGTTGGCCCAGACGACCCACTTGCCGGCTTCGGCACCTTGCGAGGATCATTGCGAAGGTGGGAAGCGGCTCTAGCGTTTTGGGGGGCTTTGGGGGGATGTGCCCAAGGCCCAAAGGGCTTACATTATAGCTTTCGACATCTGGTGGGGAGGGAGGCTTATCCTTGGGGTGTTCAGAAGTCCAAGTCCAAGGGCATGATTGCAACGACTTGCAGGCCTCCGCTCCTACCTGACGTGTAGCCTGAGGAACCTTGTGTGGGGAGGGGGCGAGGGGGAGTAGGAGCAAGAAGGCCTACTCTGCATGATACCTTGGCTCCCTGCGCTTGGCTGGGGTGTCCAAGCCGCCATACTTGTCCTCAGCGGGAATTGCCAGGAACAGGGAGAGGCGAGGGTTTGAACATTCTAGGGTTTAGTGTTCATAGGGGGGGCTGAGAGCACGATTTCGGGTTGGTATGCTTTTCGGAGGAGAGTCGTATCTACGGTCTGTAATTGTGCCTGTGCGGAAAGCAACTATGGTCGTGGTCGTTGCTGGTCCAGGAAACAGAAAAGCCCCAACTAAGCTTTTCAGGGACATGATTTCCCGAAGGCTCGAAACACCCAAAAGCACACGCGAAAGACCTGAAGATCCAGGGCCCTGAAGCAACGGGATGGCAATCCACAAATGATGTTATCTACAGCATGAGGTCTAAAGGGGGTTTGGGAAAACCCTAGCCAGTACGTCACAGGGATCCGTAAACCTAGTGCTGAACTCCCAAGCCGACCCGGAAGCCAAATACCCTGAAACCCTGAAGCCCTAGATGCTAGACACTATGAAACCCAGAAAGCCCCTAAGCAACCCTACAACCTTGAAACCCGCTTCAGAAGAAGGTCGGCCAGGTACATGAGGATGGCCCCGGACTCAAAGACCTCAGCTTTCTGTCTCAAGATCCAGCTTCGGGGTTGAGTGCTCAGGGTTTCAGGATGCGAGGGGGGACGGGGGGGTCATGCTTCACGGTTTAGGGCTTATAGGCTTATAGGGTTATAGGGCTCAGGGTTTTTAGGGTAGAAGATGTTTATGGGTTTGGTGTTTGATCTTCGGGCTTAAGACCCAAAGCTCTCTAAACCATTCGCCCGAAACCCTGAACTCTAAACCCTTGCAACTGGGACTTGAGCTCCCGTCTTGAAAGCTAAATCCCTGCAAGTAACTGGGTCAAGACGAAGGTTGGCGCACCTCATCAACCCTAAACCCTAAACCCTAAGCTCTTAGCTTTTCGGGGCAACGCTGAGTCATGTCACTAAATCATTAAACTCCTTCACCGGCCTTGGCATCGCCGTCCTGAAGCGCTGGAATCTTTCCTCGGCTAAGGGTTTAGGGTTTAGGGTTTAGGGTTTAGGGTTTAGGGTTTAGGGTTACAGGGCTTCTTTTATTTTTCGTAGCAAACATTTGCTCCGGGGTGGCTCTTGAACTTGCCAGCCTTGCAAGTTCTCCTAAAGTCGTAGGCAAGGGGGCATGAAGCCCCCTGAGCCCTGAAACCAAAAAACCGAAAAAATGGTAAGATTGAAAATTGAAAACCCTTGAACCCTATACCAACCCGACCAACCCCACCAACGCTACCAAACAAGCAAAGCCTTGCCCGTGAAAGGCCCAAGGGGCCGAAGGGGTGCGGGTAGTCTGGGGAGGTGCGGTCCACCTGCGCCGCCTGCACCATCTCGAACTCCTGGCCTTCCAAGGGGACGAGTTCAAATCGGAGCTTTTGGGGCTCGGGGGTTAGGTTTTGAGGGGCTTGATGTTTAAGACGGATTTGAGGGTTTCGGGGGTTTCAGGGTTTTGCTTTTGGGGTCGGAACGGGCTTTGCAGAATTAGGGTTTTTAGGTTTAGGATCCCCAGCTTCAATCCAAAATCTGAAAACCCTTTTTGAACTTCTGGACCTGCAACCCTAAACTCTACAAACCCCACATCCCTAAACACCCTATGCGTCAGCCACCAGAATAACCAGGATTCACTTGGTATCAAACGGGTTGTGACTATGGACTGCAAATCTATGACCCTCAATATTCAGATGATACTAGCCTAAACTCTTCGACAACATGTAGTAGAGGTATATTCTTCGTGGTTGCTACCATTGCCACTACGACCAGAACTGCCAGTACTGCTGTTGCTGCAACCACGATGTTGATCGTCGTGAGTGACGATTCTTGTCAGGCATCATGGTCCCGGGTGCTCCACCACCTAAAGCACCGGCACCCTAGCAGCTTGATCTATGGCGTCTGTCTCGTGAGGGGGGTTCGACCTTCATCGGCAGGTCGTGTACAGAACTGAAGAAGTCACCGAGCGCATCTCGGGCTTCGGAGTCCAACTCCTTCTCGACTGCCTTGTTTGGCGGTGCCAGCCGTGCCCAGGCAGGAGAGCTCAAGTAGCCAGCTCGGTGAAAACCTCGCGGGTCAAAGACCTGGCGGGAACCTAGCAGAGAGTGGAACAGAGACCAAGCCGAAGCACTGCTGATTCGTCCACCATCTGCCAACTGGCCCATGGCTTTGAAAGCTATGTGTCCTGCTTTTCCCAGCCTAATCAACTAGGAGAACATGCCACCCCACCTGATTCACGGCAGGTCCGCTAGAACATGCCACGCACGCACGGTATTTTCAAGCGACGCAGATAGTTTCAAGCGAAACTCCTGTGTTTTTGCACGCGGGGGATGGTTAGGCTAGGCAGCTAAGGCTGACGACTTCCCGGAAAGCTTAGATGTAAAGAAGGATAAGTTTCCTAATCTCTATGGGTTCCCTCAATCCTAAGCAGATTAACCCCAAGAAAGCTTCTTTTACCCGAAAGGCTTCCACAAGGAAGGGCCTATCTCGTGGAGGTACCAGTTCACCAGTGGAGATCGGCTTCCCTGGCTGCCGAACAGGATCGGCCTCAGCGCTTTTGGGGCACTCGGCTTCCGGGCTTTGTTTATGGTACTCTTCTCTTGATGTTTTAGGGGCGTGGGGAAGCAGAAAGCGCCTGAACCCTACAAGCCTTATAAGTGACGCAGTTGGGTGAAGAATGCGGTGAAGTAGAAGCAGCCAAGGAGCCCGGCATTTCGGACCGTGGGGCGGCTACGCCGCTTCCCGAAAAATGCCTTCAAAGGGGCTTCGGGTTTAGAACTCAGACTCTAAGTTAGGAGTACTTCAACTGTTGGGCTTATGATGTTACGGGTGTTGACTGTGGCGCAGCGTTCAATGTCCAGCTTCGACGTTTAGTTGCGGAGGAGAGGAAGCATCTACTGTCATCGTCTTGGTGGCGCCAAGGAATACAGCATATCCTACCACTGAGGCTGCAATTTCGTGATCCCGGACAGGTGTGGATGTGGTGGCACCCTAAACGGCCCTAAACTATCTTTACCGTCCTCAGCCCAAACCGTTGAAGCGGATCTCATCCCACCCCGCCTGCGCACCAGCGAGAGCGGCTGCTGCGCCCACACCAACCGCGCCAAGGCCTGGAGTTCTCAGATCCATCCGGGTGCAGTGTAGGATTTTGATAGGGCTTAAGATGGCTTAAGGTTTAGGGCTCCGACCTTCAGCAATGCCTAGATAGAGCTTTCGAGGGTAGTTGGAATTGCGTTAGTCCCATACATCGCTGTGATTCTCTTGACAGATTTCACAAGTTGAACATTCAATGCAAACCGATGAACTCCATTTCCCGTGATACAGCAGCGAGCTCAAAAGAGCCTCACATTCCGAAGTCATGCCAAGCGCCCAACCGCATATTGACCCCTCAGCACCGAACCACTTCAAGGAACAGCAGCATGAATAAACAAACAACATTCTGTCCATGCGCACTTTACCTCCAACCCGGCTCCAGCCCGACAGCTGCAAATTCAGGTGCCCTGAACCGAAGCCCAGAGCCATAAACCCTACTTGAGACCGAAACACTTCAACCCCAAACCTCATCGCTACACTGAAACACCCTCAAACCCTCCGACACCTGTACCGACCGCCGGCGCGTGCACTGCTCGCGGAGCGCGGGGCGCCGCGGCCGTGCGCGCAGGGACCGTGAGGAAGGCGGGCCTTGGGGGCTTAGGGTTTGTTTTTTCCTCCTCGGAATTCTAACTAGCCCTAAACTCTAGGGTTTGGGTTTGGAGTATTTGTGGGGTTTGGGGTTCGGGGCTTGGGGCTGACAACGCCGAGTTTGGTAGTTTAGAGTTAGAGTAGGTTGCTTTTTTTTTCGCCTTTGGGTACCAGTAAAAGAGTTTTCAGGGCTTGGCAGTTTGGAGTTCAGAGCTATTGGGTTCGCGCAAGGTGCGTGATTAGGGTTTGCCTACCGTCTTTGTAGGGAATGCGGGAAATAAGTATGTTCTGCCCTTATATACATACTTAGACTCTGTGCCTTGAAAAAATATTCTTACACCTATATTCGGTACCTGATATAATGCCCTCATTCCCTACTATGTACCTGTGGGGGGCTGGTCGGCTGGACGAGTGCCTCTCGTGCCAGGCGATGAGGCAGGCAGCGGCCAGTAGAACACAGCGCGATGCACTCATGGCTGCGTAGATGGGACGTTGGAAATTGCTGCAGATGCTACTTGTAAACAAACAGCGTTGGTTGAAAAGAAGGTAGGGGCTAGCTGCTAGCTGCTGCGCGAAGGTTATTGTTGGGACTGGAGTGGACACA